ATCAATATATATTTTTTTGTTTATCAGTCTTTTCATGTTTTCTTTCTTTTTAGGTCCCTGATGCTGTGATATACAGCACTGTGAAATCTTCCTCTGCTCAGGTGACCTTTGATCCCAACGGTCTCTACTCTACAATCAGTAAGTAAGGGTCATCAGCTGTTGTTTTAAAAGTCAGGTGAATTATTTCAATCTTAAAGAAGCGGTGTGATGAGAAACTTTAATCTAGTTAATAATCTAAATTATGGATAGTTTTCTGTTGGATCTATTTGAAAATATGTCCGTAGAGCAGTAGAGCCTTCTAGAGAAGAAAGCATAAAACAGAAACTCAGCATGTTCATGTGTATGCATGGCTGTGTACTTAAATTAATATTGTTTTTCTAATGTTTTAAATATCAGCTTGAAGGCTTTGCACCATCTCTGTAAATAGTTTATTTGAGATGCTTTCCCATGATATTCTTCTATACTTTGTTTTATGCATGACCTCAATAGTATAAATACCTTTAAACGTTGCGGTTTCACACTTTGAGAAGGAAATGGAGGGTTGATGTTTCCATAACGTCAGATATGTTGAAGGTTATATCTAAAAAAAACAAAAAAAAACAGAACGCAATGCTGTTGACATTCTCACATTTAGGCCAGCTCCATTATAGACTGAAAGTAGCACCTTTACAACCACAGACTTTGCTGCATCTAATGATCTTTGATGTCATATTTATCCTCATGAACGTGAGAAAAAAAGATCTTGCGATTTGTCTGGGAAAATATCTTCAACCCATAACTCTTCGCTCTTTTATGTCATTCTAAATGTTCTCTTTGTAGATTTTAACCTTTTATTTTGATGTTAGCATGACTTAGAAATATATCATATTGGACTATCACAGCCTGTAGCCAAAAGCATCTTGCAGATGGAAAAGACAAAGAAAGATTGTTTAGAAAGGAGTCAGAGAATGAAGCTCCAACAAAACTTTGGAATCTCATGACCCATGTTTTGTTTTTGAAGAAATTATGATAAGCATGACGTTCTGTGTAAGAGTAAATTACTTATACATGCCTGTTTATTTCACTGCAACAATAGAACTTCTCTCTTCGCTTTTTTTCTGAAGTGTTTTTTTCTTTGTAAAGTGTCGTGAAATCACATTTGTCAGGAATTCTGACACTGTTTGTATTTTTTACCTCCAGGTAAAGCATATTGACAAAGTTTATTACTTAAAATGAAAATTATTGAATATTTTCTCAAAATTGAATTTTTTGTTTGCTTCATGTCATCTTAACTGTATTCTTAGAGTAAATAAATGGCTGCTTGTACTCAGATTAAGTGAAATATCTTCACATAGTTGGTTCCATCCATTCCATTTTATTCCACGACCCATCCCTAGCAATCTAAGCAGATATGTCCAGACTTCCAGATCACCAGAACACCTCCTCCAGTTGCTCTGGGGGGAACCATGGAGAGACATAGTCCCTCCAATGTGTCATGGGCCTTCCACGAGGCCTCCTCCGCCTGGAACACTTCCCAAAGGAGGCGACCAGGAGGCATCTGAAAAATATGCCCGTGCCACTTCAGCTGGCTCCTTTCAATGTGAAGGAGCAACGACTCTACTCCGAGCTCCTCACCCGATCTGGAAGGGTGCGCCCAGCCACCCTTAGAAGTAAACTCATTTCGGCCACTTGTATTGGTGATCTTGTCCTTTTGGTCATTTCCCAGATCGCCAGACCAAAGGTGAGGATGGGAACGTAGATCGATCAGTAAATCGAGAGCTTTGTCCCCTGGCTCTGCTACCTCTTCACCACGACAGTCACATACAGCGACCGCACGACTGCCAACGCAGTCTATCGATCTCACGTTCCATCCGTCCCTCACTCTTTAGGGTATTTGTTTTAAATCTCAAATAAAATCTACAAACTTTCCACTGATGTTATTATCAGACAAATCATAGTTTGCCTCATTGTTGTAAAGTAGGAATGTCCTTAATGGTATCTTATCAAGGTTCCTGGAATATCATCAAAAAGTAAATTTACTTCAATGCTTTATTAAAAAAAAGGGATTATTATGTTATGTAGATTCACGAAAACATGAGGATATTATCCAAACTTCTATATCTGTTACTTTTAGCTATTATGGCTTGCAGCTATAAAAACCAAGTTTTTGCCAGAAAGTAAAACTCAGACTAGTGAAAAAGATTTATAAATACATGGCCACAGGAAGTAGAGAGGGATTTTAAAAAATGCATTAAAAATACTTTCCACAATTTATAAATATGTGCTAAGTGTTTTTCCTTTTTGTTATCTTACTATTACCTGTATGTGGGTTTTAATTGATTAGTTTGAGGCCTAATCAACACAAGTTCATTGAAGTTACAATGTCATGGCAGCGTTAAGCAAGCCAGTGGTCTCAGAGAAAAGAGGATTCCTACTCGCAGCAGTAGACTAGTAAGCTTACAGAGGCTAATGACAGAAATAAGGAGGAAATATGGTAAAAACGCATTTTGGATTTTTTTGGGAAACCACCACCAGTGAAGAAGAACAACTGAGACAGATAAGAGAGAGCAGCCAGAGTAAGGTCATTGTTGGGTGCCTCTGCTGTCTACCTGGGGCACCCTGCCTGAAGCTCACAGCAACAGCATGGTCTCGCCGTGCACTTTCATGTCATGCAGTTTAATGTAATCATACTATTTAAGAGTGTTATTTTGATCTTGTGTTCTTTGTTTAATGGATGTGGAGAACTGTTCAATAGTGTTTAAATAGTATAGTAATATAATTATATCCTTTTGGTTTGCGTAAAAGGATTTTGGAGCTAATAGAATCATGTTTGACATAAACACAGTGACTCAGGCAAGGTGCTTCTCGACTCATGCCAGTTGACCAAATCTACGTTGTCATAGTGTTATTGTGAAGTTGAATTAATAGTTCATATTTTCACCAGAGAACTGTTGATGTTTGTGTGTTACAGACCCTGGTTACAAACAATTAAGTGTATATGACAATAAAGTAGTAGATCCCAGTCTATTTATATATTTTTATTTATTGTATTTTAAATAGGCTTATAGGCTCATAGGTATTTTGTCTAAAAAAAGACCAAAAAAGAATTTCACAGCACCCCGTGTTCAAAATGGCTTCCAGCGGCCCTGAATTTATAAAGGTTTCACTTTGGTCACACAATCCAAAGAACGACTCCTGACTTGCTGAGCAGAGCTTTTACAGAGAAAAAGCCACTGTGATCAACAGGGTTTTATCAAATCTTAAAGTAGCAGAAACGTCTTCTGTTGGAAGGCTTTAGGGAAATATTGAATTTACTGTAATTCCAGCAGGTTTTTGCAACTGTCCAAACTGCCAAACAGTTAAACTTTCTGCTTTAATTGCTTTGACTGTCTGCTTTAAAGGACATGGTGAGATGAGGTTGTAATGTAGGTAGATTAACCTTTTTATAATTTCTGTTTAGTGATCATCTGGATCAGAAAGTATTTTCTTTATTCGAAAATGTGCAAATACTGACAAACACTGGGATTTAAAAGAGAATATTTTATTTATTCTCTTTAAAAAAAATAAAAAATCTTCTTTAATAACGGGAATAGTTATTTTAGACCAAAAAATGCTGCAGATTATATTTTTGCACTTCTCCATCACGCTTTTCCATTTCTTGCCATAAGGAGGCACTAGAGATCCTTTAGAGAGCCTGTTTGTCCCACTTTTACTGTACATTTAAGCATTTTTTTTTTTTTTAGAAAATGTAAATAAATTCTCACACCATTTCACATATCTGATTGTTAACCATGTCCCTACAAACATTTTGATACAAAAGTATTTACAAACTGATCTAGTTGTACTACAAATCTTCTTTTTCTCTCCAAATAAACTTTTTCCCTTGTAGCTCCACATTCACTGTAACCCTGCAGAGCCAATCAGCATAGCTGTTTGCACATCCACTGGTGACCGATGCAGATAATTACTACATGTTGTTTTCAAATGCATTAAACTGCTTTAACTGCATCACCTTTTTATTTTTTTACGCTTTAGTGCATTAGGAAAATCAGGTTGAGATTAATTTCAGCAGCTTGCTGAAAATATAAACAAATATATATATTTAAAAAAAAATGAGAAATAGGAGACCACATGTACTAAACCTTTGTCCAAGGCTGCAGTTACAAATAGAGAACTAGAATCTCCAACGCTTTAACATATGGTTTGCTTTTTCCTCTTGGCTTCACTAAACCTCATCTGAGGATTGGCAGTCTTCATTTTTCATATTTCTGTGTAGCTAATACTAAATTAGAGTTAAGTCCTCTTGATAATTTCAATGAGGTTCTAGATTCAATGAAAGTAGAAACTAAAATTGGGGTTAATAAAAAAAATGCTACTGTTTTCATCCTCCAATCCTGAAAGTGATCAAAGTTCTTTAGTTCACATTTTAATGTTATGGGGGAAAGCTGACTGAACTCAGTCTCTAACATGGACATATGCAGACATTCACCCTCATTAATTAGTGTGTATTTTCCACTTAAGGAGATTGTGTCTATTGTAAGCCTATTGTGAGGACAATAGGCTGTCAAACAAAGTAATTCTGCCTCAATGATGACCCCCTGCAGGATGCAGTAGTCACAAACACAACAGTCTGACTACTAAAAATGGACGAAAACTTAAAAAATCACAAATCTACTGCTGCAGCCTCAACCTGTCCTGATGTGACTAAAGGTCAAAAAACTGATATAAGATTTCTAAACTTATAGATTTTTTTTTTTCAAAAAAACATTGACCAAATTAAATTGATCATCCTTAAAAATAAATTGTCTTTACTTAAATGAAAAATCTTGTGTCTTTCAACAGAAATGACTCTAATATATAACAGATATTGAATCTTTAAACATATAAATGGGTTAACTAAATTTCTACTTTTCTGTTAAAGAACTTGACCCAATTTCTCAGCCAATCACAGCTCAGTTAAAATCTCCTGAGCCAATAGGGTGCTGAGCCACACCCACATGTGTGCATAATAATAAGAGGCAGGCTGATAAGTGTGTGGAGTAAATCTGCAAAAGCTGCAGCTTGCTCAGTGCATTTTGGAGATAACTTTGTCCTCTGCAAACCTTCACCATGGTTGACGCCTTCTGTGCCACTTGGAAGCTGGTCGAAAGCGAGAACTTCGATGAGTACATGAAAGCACTTGGTGAGTGACATGTGGTCTTTCTTACTTCTTACTATATGAAATACCATAGCTCAATAATTAATATGCAAACTACACATCAGGAATAAGAGGATTGTTAAGAATAAAGAGGTCTTCAATAAAATTCTCCCTGTTTCTCTTCCTTCAGGTGTTGGCTTTGCCACCAGGCAGGTTGGTAATGTGACCAAACCGACCGTCATCATCAGCCAGGAGGGAGACAAGGTGGCAATCCGCACCCAGAGCACCTTCAAAAACACAGAGATAACTTTCACACTGGGAGAGGAGTTCGATGAAACCACTGCTGATGACAGAAACTGCAAAGTAAGGTCCCAGAACACAAGACTCAAACCTCTTCAGTTAACCTAAAAACTTTATTTATACAATAAGAGTAAGAATAAAAAGAAAGATATTCAGTGTCTGAATATGAGGAACAACTTAAAGTATTTTTGTAAGATTGAAAACTTTTTGTTACTACTTTGAAGATACTTAAAATTTGAAAATAAGTATACAGCTTTTCTTTATTCCGGGAAACAAATGTCTTTTTTCATGGCTGTTAAAATCCTGGAACGGTTTCTAAACTCTTGATTTTAGGTATGTTTATAAGTCAGCACCACTAATAAACATCTTCACTCATCTGGAGAAAACCAGCAGCCTTATAAAGGTTCAACTTGTTGTTTTCAGATTGAAACTCTTCTTTTCTCTGATTCTTTTCAGTCCACTGTGACTCTGGATGGAGACAAGCTGGTCCACGTCCAGAAATGGGACGGCAAAGAGACCAAGTTTGTTAGAGAGATCAAAGACGGCAAGATGATCATGGTAAAGGCACAAGATTAAGTTCACTTCTGCATTTTATTAGCTTTTTCTAACTTTTGACTATTGCTCAGTCAAAATAATTTCCCAAGAAAACAGGTTTAAATAGGAAAATAGCACAATATCCTATGACCATATGAGTTATTTAACCTTTTAATTCAAAGTTTAAGATGATGATAAACGATGTTTGTTTTTGTTTTTTATGGGAAGGATGCTACAGGGTTCATTAGGCATTTCTTTGAATGAAGCTGTTTAAATAAAAATATTTGGGTTCTGAGCTAGAAATTAAATACAGAAAATCAATGTGAAGACTAAACAACAAATCCCAATACAAAGCTATAGATATCATATCATCAAGCATAATATTTTTTTTTACTGGCAGCACCTGTAATTTATTCCCATGCTTATTTTATATAAACTGAGCTTTAAAAGAAAAATAATGGGATTTTTTTGTTTTGTTTTGTGCAGAATCTGACCTTTGAAGATGTCCATGCGGTGCGCACCTATGAGAAGGCATGAGAGCTCACACTGACAGCACCACTGACCGGCCAAGCCGTGTTGTTTTCATAATTATTGTGGACTGTTTGCTCTTTGCACTTCATTCTCCTCTGCATGTAAAAGATCTGCAAGCTGCACATGTTTTGTAAGATGTTTTTTTTTTTTATATGAATCCAATTCTGTCATGACAGATGGAAGGACTTTGCAACTCTGTGTAAAACAAAATAAAGAAACGAAATGTGTTGTGTTTACATGCTTGTATTGATTTAAATGAATGGTTTGGTCTGATTATAAGAGGTCAGTTGTTTAAAAAGGGTAGTTTTTAGACTAACCTTTGACATTTCTGGATAAAGTATGTTCTCTATTAAATAAACACAGATTTAACTCACTGCAGAACAACACTGTGACAAAGGCTCAATGCAGAATTTGTCACCTATAGTAACAATAACACATTTTGTTATCATATCAGGGAACATGGTAGTTAATTTTCCATTCCCTTAAACTCCATGTATGAAATTACTCTGTACATCTAATCTGTGAATCTTTGCTAGAATCATCCAGTTCCTCTACTGAATACAGGAAGGGTTGGCACAGGCACAATAACCAAGGTTTTGATTTACGCATTTATATTTAAAGAATACCAAGTTATTAATTGGAAAAATCGACCATCTTTCATAAAAAACAGCATTGTTGAACCTTTTCTGTAGTCTATCATATGTCTGAATGTGATACAGAACTCCAGCAGCCAAAACTTTTCTCTAATACCTAAAGCACTTGGTTAGATTATCATATCATTAAAGAATGGTAAGCCTCAGTGAAGGTGGGATATTTTCTTGCAGTGCAGGTTGACTACATTTCCATTTATGACACTTTTATTTTCTCCACCTAAACACATGAAGTTCTTCAAGAATTGACTGAACCTTTGTATTTCCAGAGTTGATGGTTTGTTGGGCTTTTCTTGCAATTCTCTCTACATACGATATTTTCTAGCATTTCGTGAAGAGATTTACTGTTAATCATTAATATACCTAAGTAGAGTGGTCATTTTAGACTCAAATAGAAAAGTTGAGATGGTTCATTAAGGTCAGTGTCTGACACTCTGTGTGACAAACTATGTTTTTTGTATGTTCTTTTCCATAAAGTCTCATAAATTCAATAATAGATTGTTTTTTCAAATGCCAATTATAATCAAAAGCTTCTAGTCTTGATATTATCCTGCTGAACACCAAAATGAACTCCATAATCTGGCTGAGATTATGTCTTTCCAAGTGGGTAAAGCATAAAAAAGGAGAACCACTCACCAGGAGAACCACTCGATAACCACTCAAATACTTCAACAGGTGGGTTTGTTTCTCTTTCAAGGCGAACATCAACCCCTCCTTTTTGTTTAGTGATGTACCAGGCGGCTTCATTGTTTTCTGTGTTAAACCTCAGTGCAGAAAGTAACACATCTTCAGGGAAGAAACCATTTATTATTTGTAACACACTATGTGCCATTAAAGGAGGCATGCCTTTATCTCCTCTGTCTCATCAAAGGGATGCCAACAGGGTATGAGGATCCTTCTGATTTCTCACGGGGATTCCAGTTTATCATCCCGAAAGATTTACCACCTTTGTGGTGGCAAAATCCACAGCCGTGGTGTGATGAAGCAATAGCCGAGCCACTGAATGAGAGCAATAAATTAACACAAACACTTTGGAAACATGATGATTACCATGTTCATTTTCCATATTACCTTACCTTTAATCTCTAATAATGATGCTTCCTTGACAAATGTGTTTGCAGTGAAACATGGATGGTTTAACGGGCCCTAACCATAGAGCAGACATGAGGATATGATTTTTCATCACATCTGGATAGAGGTCAGTGATCTGATCCTGAATCAGCCAAATACTAAACTTTGAACTCTTAAAGGCAGCTGCCGGATCACAGCACCATATTAGAAAAAGATTAAATCAACCTTCAGTTGGTCAAAAACAAAGGTGGAGCTTTTTAAATGATGTGTTGTGTTACATCTGGAAAACTTAACACTGGCTTTTGGGAAATGAACAACATACATTTAATTAAAACTAAATGTTATACTAGCAGGAGGACGATGATGCAGATTAAAACAAGAAGTTCACCTCTGTTTGCTTAATTCGCCAAATGAAAATAAATTATGAGGTTTAAAGGTTTATGTAGGACAATTTATTAAGTTTACGACAGCATTAATAATATTAAAATAAAAAAAAAAATAAATGGGTCAGTTTATTTTTAATGTCATCTAGAGGGAACAAAATGCAGCATTAAAAAGATGAAAAAAAATTTTAACCAGTAAAGTTTTTTCTCTTGTTTAACTCCTCCCCCTTTCAGTCAGCTGACCAGCTGGTCTCTGAACTTCCTGTTTACTTTTAGGACCTGATCGGTTCCTCAGTCCTGCCGCTTTTCCTTGTTGTTTAACCAACGTATCACCTCGTTTTGTATCATGTCTCTAATCATGGCTCAGGTTGTGTGTTTGTTCCTGTTGCTGCTCTTCAGAGAGACTCTGGTTTCTGCAGCTCCGACTGGAAGCAGCTTCCTGCCAGAAACAGGTAAGAAGCTGCTGCAGTCTTTTATTAATATAGAAATAAATCCCAGGGCTCCTGCATGCAGAGAGGATTAGTCAGTATTTTTAACATTGCGCGTTAAACAGCAACAAACGCCCACATCATTAAATAAAATAGGATATATTTATAAACATTGCGGAGCTTTGCTCATTATTCACCTGCCAAATTGTAAAATATCCTGTATTCATACATTTTATACGTTAAATTATTATGTTCAGTGCGCGTTATCTGTGCCAAAATCAAAAATCTAAGAATTGATCAAACTTTAAGGGGAGTTCTGCCATAGGAGTCATCCATGGGGTTTAATGTTTTTTTTTTGTTGTTGTTGTTGTTGTTTATTTTTGTTGTTTATTTTTGGGCTCTAGTGGCCTTTATTGTTTTACATTTTTAAAGTAGGCAGATAGGAAACAGGAGCAGAACCCCTGGACCTTCATCATCACACCATGGCTTCATCCTTAGCTGACGCTCAAAGGCAGTTACTAATAGGAAAAATAAGATTGAAGACATTTTACCCTTTTAAGAAATAAACATACATATTTTATGTATTTATTTCTACAAATTTTCTCATGTTTGTGTTTTACATGACATGGTTGTATTTATGTATATTTGTTGCTAGGGTTATAATAAAATAATATCAGTAACACTACTTCTGCTAAAACAACTGTAACTTCTATGACTTAGATTCTATTTTTTTCATTTTTTACACACAAATGTATACAAAAATAATTTTATTTTAGTACAGCTCTCTAGACTTTTTCATTTTTTAAAGTGCAGTCTTGATTAAAGTAAGCAGCAGTGATTAAAAAAAAAGAAACTGGTGAAAAGAAACACTGTGGTGATGTAAACATATGACTATAGTTCCCACATTTAGTTCATTCCAGTGGATAGGAAACAATATTCTAAAATGATTATTTATCAGTGTTCTGTTTTCTCAGGCAGGTTCTGGCACATCACTGACCTCCACCTGGACCCCACCTACCACCTGGCCCAGGACCCCACCAAGGTGTGCTTCTCCTCTAAAGGAGCCCCCGCCACCCACGCAGGGCTGTACGGAGACTTCCTGTGCGACTCCCCCTACAGCCTGATCCAATCAGCCTTTGCCAACATGGCTCCACTCACACAGCCACAGGACTTCATCATATGGACCGGGTCAGTACGCACACTGAAGGTGACGACTGAAAAATACTTTAAAAGTATTAGTTCGGTTTGTCTCATTATAGAATAATGCGAAACGCTGAATTGGTGAATGTCTGTCAGGAATAGAAAGAACCAGTTCACAGTTCCTGTTCCTTTTTTTACTCTAGTGGTGGACTTAGAAAAGTTCAAAGATTTTAAGTTACTTTCATTTTCAATTGGTCCCAGATGACTCTTTAGTGCTGTTAAAGTTAAAATTTTCCATTTAAATTAAAAGATAATTGCAACAAATTTCTTTATAATAAAAAAGTTGCATATATCTATCTGTTTTATTTAAAGAGAAAGGAATTAATTACAGGCCCTTCTCTCCTCTGTTTTGGAGTACAATGGACTCATAAATGAAGTAGGAAACAAAAAGGGGTATGAATATGAAAGTTTCACTTCTCCATACCGCTTTTCACACATTAGCACTAACTTATATAGCTCATTTTTAATCATATATATCACAAGCTATACATTATGTTTGTATGTGTTAAGTTGGTAATTATGCTAGATTAAAGTAATTCGTTCATTAATGTTAATATTCCTTTTATTTGAAAAGTCCTCCTCTGTTTTTGGAAGATGGTTTAAAAGATCAGCAAACAGACTATGATTTTTTTTTTTTTTGTGACCTCTATTCCTGACGTTCAGTTAAGAGGAAGCTTCACTTCCCTCTTCCTGAAGATTATTATCTTCTGTGGTTTTTCATGAGGAAGTTATTTTAAAGAGTCTTTATACATTTTAGCTGGACTGTAAGGAAGTGATTGTAGTTTTTATGGAGTTGAGGAAGACTTAAAAAACATTCATTTGAATTAAATATGTTTAATTTGTTGTGATGAATTTAGAAGGGAGTAGAAATATAAGTTTTACTTTGACCTACTCCCTTTAGGATATCTTGATTCATATCTTTACCAATATATCTTTTGTCAATCTTTTTATTTGTATAATATTTAAATAGATACATTAATTGGAGTCATGATTCGATCTTTGTGTACTATGACTACAGTAAAATTTGAAACTTTATATTGATACCGACCAAAATATTCTATAGTCGATACCATTTTTGACACCAATGGCATAAAAAATTAATTAAAAATAACATGAAAAACTCACTTTTTTTTCTATATCGCGTGGAAAAAACAGAACAATATGCTAGTAAATACAAAATGAACAACCCAAGTAAGACAAAATCTTCCAATATTTTGAAGTTTTCAGATGTATCATTATTTATATGTAAAATTAGGCAGTAATCTAAAATTAACAGGAATAATATGCAAATGCTTTTTTTAAGTAACAATACATTTAGAGTATAAATATTTTTGACAACCGTATTACCGCTAAGATTATAATTAACATTTGGCTAATACCAACAAAGTTAACAAACAGGGTTCCCGCGGGTCCTTAAAAAGTCTTAAAAGGCATTGAATTCTTCAAAATAAAACTAAGGCCTTAATTGGTATTAAAATATCTTAAATCAGTCTTT